CTGAAATGATTAGGCCTGGGACACTACTTGGTAACAATATCCTATTTTTTTCCCCATACCCTTGCACAATGTTTCTATGCAAATAATCATTCAATGCCCTCTTGAATGCTTCAATTGAAACTGGTTTCACCACATTTTTGAGCAGTGCATTCCATACTACTGAGTAAATTTTATTTCTCACATCACTATTACTTCTTTTGCACATCACTTTAAATCTGTGCTCGTTATTGTTCCTTTTATAAGCAGGAACAGCTTCTCTCTATCTACTTTATCCAGCTGAGTCATGATTTTGAAAACCTCAATCAACCCCCTTTCAGCTGTCTTCCCGCTAAAGAGAAGTCCCAACTTCTTCAGTTTATCCTCATGACTAAAGCTTCTCATTACTGTACCATTCTTCAAAATTACTTCTTTACTCCCTCCAATGTGTTCAAACCCTTCCTATAATGTGGTGCCCACAACTATACACAAAGTCCAAGCGAAGTCTAATAATTATCTTTTACAAGTTCAACATCAACTGCTTGCTTTTGTACCCCATGCCATATTAATAAAGTCCAGAAAACTGCATGCTTTATTAACTATTCTCTCACCTGACATTTTTAATGATCTGTGCACATATATACCTAGGTCCTTCTGCTCCTGCACCTCTTTTTAGAATTGTACCCCTACTTTACAATCAAATCCACATGAGAATGATTCCAAAAAATGGCTAGAGGCAAAATAACACTGATTTGTTATACCATTCAGTCCTCAACTATATACTTGTGGAACACAAATACTATTTGTAGGTGCTGAAAGCCCTGCAAAGTGTTTTAGTTTCTGTTATCTTCATAGAGTGCTGGAAGATGTGGTCTATTGATAGCTCATTAATTTATTTTCAAAGTACAGCAATTCAGCTTCTCATAAAATTGCAGTTACCACAAAAGGGTGTGATAAATAATTTTCAATTTCATTATACTGATGATCAGCAAAATTCAGTACCGCTTGCAACTCCTCAGTTACTAAAAAATGTCCATGTTCTTATCCACCAACACCTGAACAACATTCAGGTAACTTGCTAAGTTATATTTGTGTCACACAAATGCCAGGCAATGACCAACCTCAAAAAGAAAGAAATCAATTGTGTTGACATTAAAATGGCATTACCATGTTAACAATATTAACATTCTGGTAAATACCATTGATCAGAAAATCAATTGTATTAATCATATAAATACTGTGACTACAAAGGCAGGTCAGAGGCAGGGAATTCTGAGGAGAGTAACTCACTTGACTCCACAAACCTTGCTCACTACCTAAACAGTACAAGTCAAGAGTGTGATGAACTAATCTCCACTTTCCTGGATGAATATAGCTCCCAACACTGAAGAAGCTCGACAGCTTCCAGGACAATGTAGCCTGCTTGATCAACACTCCATTTACCAACATAAATATTCACCTATTCCATTAGCAACACACAGTGACAGTGGTGTAAGAGACACACTGCTGAAACTCACCTTGACTCTTGAGTGCAGGTGCATAGTTCCTCGAAAGCAGAGTCACAGGTAGATAGGGTAGTGGAGAAGGCATTTGGTATAGTTGCCTTTATTGGTCCGTGCACTGCATATAGGAGTTGGGAGGAAATGTTGCGGCTGTACAGGTCACTGGTTAGGCCACTTTTGGAATAGAATCATAGAATCCCTACAGTATGGAAATAGGCCCTTCGGCCCAACCAGTCCACACTGAACCTAAAGCATCCCACCTAGACCCACATCGTTATAACCCACCTAATCTACACATCCCTGAACACTACGGGCAATTTAGCGTGGCCAATCCACCTAGCATGCACATCTTTGGACTGTGGGAGGAAACTGGAGCACCCGGAGGAAACCCATGCAGACACGGGGAGAATGTGCAAACTCCACACAGACAGTCACCCGAGGGTGGAATCGAACCCGAGTCCCTGGTGCTGTGAGGCAGCAGTGCTAACCACTGAGCCACTGTGCTGCCCATACTGTGTTTGTTTCTGTCTCCCTGCTATAAGACAGATGTTGTGAAACTTGAAAGGGTGCAGAAAAGATTTATAATGATGTTGCCAGGTTTGGAGAGTTTTGAGCTGTATGTAGGGAGAGGCTGAATAGGCTCGGGCATTTTTCTCCTGGAGTGTCGGAGGCTCAGGGGTGACCTTATAGAAGTTTATAAAATCATGAGGGGTATGGATATGGAGAATAGTCAAGATCTTTTCCCCAGGGTAGGGAGTCCAAAACTAGAGGGCATAGGCTGAGGGTGAGAGGGGAAAGATTTAAAAGCTACCTAAGGGGCAACTTTTTCATGCAGAGGATGTGTGTGTATGGAATGAGCTGCAGAGGACGTGGTGTGGGCTGGGACAATGACAACGTTTAAAAGGCATTTGGATGGGTATGTGAATAGGAAGGATTTAAAGGGATATGGGTCAAATGCTGGCGAGTGGGACTAGATTAATTTAGAATATCTGGTCAGCATGGACCAGTTGGACGGAAAGGTTTGTTTCTGTGCTATACATCTCTATGACTCCTCTGCCAGCATGTTCCAAACCGATGACCTCTACCACCTTGTTTGGTATTACCACAATCCCAAGTTCCTTCTTATACACCAACCTGACTTGGAACTATATTGCCATTTCTTCACAGTCATTCATTCAGTATTCTGGAACTCTGCCTATAGTAGCATTCTGAGTGTGCCTACACAACACGGAGTACAGTGGTTCAAGAAGGTAGCTCACACCAACACATTAAACCTAGTTAGGGACCAAATACTGAACTTGTCAGCAATGTCCACATCTCAGGAAAGAATAAACAAGAGTGAAAAAGATTTTAAAAAACTGTTTGTTTATGCCAAATTTAATTATGTAAATACAGAAAGACCTGTAAGGAGTTTCTTCCTCCGTATATCTCAGTAACGCCTTGGTTACCGAGAACGACTGTAAACGACATTTAAATTCTGACATCAGGAATTGAGGATGAGAGCAAATTGCTTCTCAACTTTAGAACAACTTAGGTAAGTTAAAAACACAAACAATTTATTGCAAAATGAAATTTTTTGAACATTTCTTTAATGTGGGCTGAAGCAATCATTACACAGGTGACACAAAATTATAGATTGTTATATTTACACCTGTCAACCAAAAAAAAACTGCACATGGAGAGGTCAACTCTCGATACAAACCAGGAACAAACCACAATAATTTACCATTAGATACAATTCTAGTTTCAGTTTGATAGCCTGCTTTTACAATATGCAAAACACATCAATTTTTTACCATTTCAAAAACAATTCTGTCAGTTTACACATTATTAAAATTTTGGCAACATTATTTAATATTTAACTTCATGAAGAGATGCAAGATACATAATGAAATGTTAGAATCTACTTCAACACACTACCTGTTATTGAAAAGTTTCCCTACAGTTTTACAGGTCTTAATGGTTACAATTAAGTCTCTATGATTTCAGGTTTTTAAAGAGCTATTAAGTAACTTTTGTTTATTAGCATCATCTGCAATCTGCATCAGCTGGAGTTATTACCATATATCAGTTATTCCTGTCTCACCTATTTCATTTTAGTTTCAGAATCAATGCACACACTACAAAGATAATGCTGTTTTCTAGTCAGGGGCTTGTTTATTAAACATGTTGCAACTATGAAACGTCAATTGCTGGTTTGCCTAGTTTTTATTTTACAAAAATCAAAAATAGCTTCACATCAGTTTATTTAATTCAAACAGCGGATTCCATGTTTCAACCTCTAGAATGTTCTTGTATTCTCTGTGCTTGATGGAAATATTTCATCTTCTGTGGTCTGTGACTCCTGAGGTGTTGAAAAATCATCTAAAAATATTTGCAAGTCTGAGCTAAAAACACAACTTTAAATACTTGAAGTGGCTAACACTTCGAAATGCTTTGAGAATCAAATGATATTCCAAAATACTGTCACCACCTCATGCTGACACCTATAGGGTGCTGAGAATCAAGAGAAGGGAGAGAATAAGGTTGGAGGTGGCAATGAGCATTTACTGACAAATGAAATACAAAACTGACAAAACAATAAGACTTAAGGTTACAAGAAATGCTAAATACATATTGACAAATTAATCATGCAGACAGGAGCTGGCAACTATACACAATGCTTGCAGTACTCTGTCATTTTTTAATTTTCTGTATTCAAATATTACTACATGGCAGATATGAATCAAGAGCTGCAATACATAACAAACAAGCCCCCAAAAGTATTCTTAAAAGAAGGTACATTTGCACAAGGGATAAGACCTGAGCTGTAATTCTATGGCTACTGCTCTGTCATAGCATGAAGATTTTGCTTACTTTTCTTGAAGTTGTATTATATGGGTTTTAACTGAGCCCAGCCTGCTGGGTTAATCTATTTCTTTTTTTTTATAAAGAAGAAACTTTGAGAAAAAGGCATTGTTACCTACAGAACTCCCTGCTCCCTTTGACTTTTAAAAAGGTATGTTACTACTTTATTTCACATACTTTCCATTATGTTAGCCTAAAAGTCATATTTAAAATTAGAAAAATAGAGGGGAAAAGGGAAAGGAGGTGAATAAAGTACATGAACTAATGTGGATTTGAAGAGATGACACCTAATCACACGCATTCAAAAAGCTAATTTCTGTGGACAGTTAGATTTAACAAAAGCAATGCCTAAAACAGGATATGAAATTATAAGTTGTGTGATTGGATATGGCTCATTTCAATAGGATCAACATTAAGCACTATAAAACTGCAGTATGCCTAGCTATCAGTGTAAAAACATCCATTTTGTAAGGGCGGTCATTGTCATGGCACTCTATAACTAAACATTAAATTCACACTGACTCATTATGCCCTATTTGTTCTGTATTGCTTAAATTATGTTAGCTGGTAGTTATAATTTCCACAATTTACTGTTCAGACAGTAACTAAAGTTAATACTGAATGATGCTGCTTATCGCTCCATCCTAAAGAAATGAAGAAATAACATGAATAAAATCCCACTAAGCTAAAACTTTAATTTTTCTTTACGCACCATTAATTTGGTGCATTCTTCATTAGCTTGCTGTTACGATCAACTTTACATGATATTCTTTTAAATGAAATTATTCATTCCAGAATTTTATAAAATTGAACATGTTATGCTCTATCAAATTACAGTGAAATTCATAGCATGTCAGATATGATTTGGCACCTTCTGGTTTGGCAGAAGGGAGGGGAAAAAGCAGCTGGTAAAATAAAAAGCTATAACAGAAAACAGGTTTTTAAATTTACAGACCATAAATTCCAAAAAGGTAATGCAATTAGTAAGAATTTCCCAGCCCCACTATTTGCCTTACCACCCTACCACCCCGCCTACCCCTTACTGCTTTTTCTCTCTCTTTCACCAGTTTCCCCTCTCATGAGCTTCTTAAATAAAATACATGGTGGTATGTCATTGAGATTCTAACAAAATAGATTGCTCTGAGTGACAGAGAATCTACTTTAATCTCTACAATATATACGTTTATGAAAGCCTTGGGGCTGAGCGATCATTAGTAGTTGTTTTTCTCAGTTTCACTCCACGTCGGATAGCGCTCAACATATCTTCACCTTGAGGGGGCTCCGCAGCCTCAGCCGTGGAATGCTCACCTGCCGTATCCAACTCTTGCAGGGTCAAAGCTGAATCGGTACAAAGCTGCTCCCCAGATGCAGCTGCCAGTGTGGTACCCAGGTTGGCTGCTCCAACTTCTGAAGTCATCTGCTGGTTCATCACAGACTGCCTCTCTTCATCATCTGTGGGGCTAAGAGATTGGGATGGCACAGGAGGGACAACAGGTGCCAATGGGCAACCAGATGATGGTATACTGCTTCTCTTTGGAGAGACCTGCACGATTTCTACATCCTCAGAACCTTGTTCTGGACATTCCTCCGGCCCAGGCTGCACATCTAATACGCTACCTACATCAGGCACAGTTGGTGTTTTAACAGGAATCACCGGAGTCTTAATTGGTATCGGGCCCCCTCCTATAGTTCCTCTTCGGACTGATGGTTTGGTTGAAGGCGTCCGCCTGATTGTCGCAACTCCTGGTGTCATCATCACCGGTCCACTGTTGGTTGGTAAACCTGCTGTAGAAGCAGGGCGCTTTGCCTGGAACATTCGACGATAGGACTGGCTTATATCACTATTTCGTGGAATAGTGGAGGACTTGTCAAACTCTGTCTGTTCAATATCTTGATCACCACTAACTGAGAAGTAATCGTAATCTGAAACTGAGTAGAACATTAAAAAAACACTCGTTTTTTAAAGTTCAGACAATTTAATTCAATCTGCATTGTAGTAAAATCTTGAGGCCTCTGTTAATTAAAAAACGCATTGTTTGAAACTAAATGTTTTATTCCATTCTTTTCTCTTGTACCTTCTAAATACATATCCAGAATCAAAGTGGCAGTCAGCAAGGTATACACAGAGGTAACAAGGTATAGAGCTGGATGAACACAGCAGGCCAAGCAGCATCAGAGGAGCAGGAAAGCTGATGTTTCGGGCCTAGACCCTTCTTCAGAAATGGGGGAGGGGAAGGGGGTTCTGAAATAAATGGGGAGAGAGGGGGAGGCGGATAGAAGACGGATAGAGGAGAAGATAGGTGAAGAGGAGACAGACAGGTCGAAGAGGCAGGGATGGAGCCAGTAAAGGTGAGTGTAGGTGGGGATTTAGGGAGGGGATAGGTCAGTCCAGGGAGGACGGACAGGTCAAGGGGGCGGGATGAGGCTAGTAGGTAGGAGATGAGAGTGGGGCTTGAGGTGGGAGGAGGGGATGGGTGGGAGGAAGGACAGATTAGGGAGGCGGGGACGAGCTGGGCTGGTTTTGGGATGCGGTAGGGGGAGGGGAGACTTTGAAGCTTGTGAAGTCCACTTGCTTCACTATTTTTGCAGAGAACCTTTTTGCCAGATCAGGGTCTTTAATACAAGTTGCCAGTAAATAATTGGTCATTTGAATGCAACTATTTTCCTATTGGAAACAGCTCCCTCTATATGTATTTGGAGAACAGGTCCTCGGTGTATTTTTTCAGAGATAGTAGGAACTGCAGATGCTGGAGAATCTGAGATAACAAGGTGTAGAGCTGGATGAACACAGCAGGCCAAGCACCTGATATATGACCTGTACATATAAATCAGTTGAAAAATCTCATTGCAGCACATTTCAAATAAAATTCAAATGAGTTACATGACCAACAAATGGCACAAAATAAAAAAATTATCAATTACATAATTTTAGCAAAACAGTGTTCCTATAAACAAGTGAGGATTGCTGCAGATTTGCTTGAATGTGCAATGTATGGCAAGTGACAAAAGAAAAAGTGTTATGCGATTCCCGACTGATCCATTGTTTTTAAACTACTCCTGAATGTTTCAGTCAACCAAATGGGAATTCAAAGACAGGCCTTCACATTTATTTCTTATACCAAGGCGAGATGCCAGTGCAAGCTGCATAACACAACATCTCAGAATAATGAAAATTCTTTGATTGCTTGACTCAACTAGCTACCTGCTACTTGGATGAGAATCAAAGATGTGACTAGACCACTGGTTTTCCCACTGGAATTTAAATTGCTTTGTTACTGGGTTGTTAATGATACTGTTCGCTTCAGGACTAAAATTGAGAAACTATCAATAAAGAAAATATACATTTCTAATACGACATCTCAAAAACTTACAAGTGTTAAAATTTAAACTGAGGTGTAGGAGCCAATCCACATTAAGCTATTTCTGTAAGCCTTTTGTTTAACTTTAATCAGATAAAGGGACCAAAATAATTCAAATTCTGGCTATATAGGAGTGAAATGTTGGTAATATTTATCTGGTTATATTTCCTATTATTCGGAAGTCCAGTTTGAATTGTTTTTTTTCTAATATGCATTAAGTCTACATAAAAGATTCCCAGCTTTACTTACAGTTTTCTGAGATACAAAGTGCAATAAATTTAATAAACACATCTCTTATTTCAAACAGATGCATCTCCTGATCAACTTAATACATGTTGTTTAACAACCACTGGTACATGGTTGAAATCTCAGATTAAAATGTGCAAACACAATTGGTGTGTCTACAGCAAAATGACACAGATACTCATGTTTAAATTGACCTTTGAAGCCTTGAAAAATCCCTACAAAAACAGGGGTCAACTTATACACTGACTAAAAAAATGAAATGTTCATCTTGGTGTGGGAGGTTGCCATTTTAAAATGTCAACAGAATCTGATACAAAGAGTGGGGACATATGAAGACTGCATGAATTCACAATAAAGCTCATATCACCTGATGAATCTCTCACACCCATAAGGTAAATTAAGTGACACGTGCCTTTTCAGGAAAAAAATTAAGGCTGACTTTTAAAAAATTCATTTACAGGGTGTTGGCATCACTGGCTGAATCAGCATTTTTGCCCACCCTTAGTGCCCTTTTATTTGAGTGCCTTTCTACAGCCATTTCAGAGGCAGTTAAAACTTAATCATGCTACTAATGGGAGCATATAGCATATCATGACTGAAGGGACCATTGCACTGACTATATGCAAAATTTAAGATCTTTTTCTTTTAATTAAAGTTTGTTGTTACCATTATGTCAGAGCATCCAACAAGCAAGTTGTGTTTACCTTGTGAAGGGATTGTGTCCTCAGAGCAACATGGTGTGGTTGTCTGTGTACTGTATCCACTGGAGCACTGCAATGAATCTCTGCTGCTCCTCTGAGTATCCAGCTGTAGACCTCTACTGAGGGCCAAAGCTAGTTCTTCATGACTTTCTGCCTCCTCCCCCTGCTACCAAATACAAGCAATCCAAAGTAAATTACTACTGCGCTGATCTACCTAATGCAATCATATTTTACGAAGAACAAAGAATAATTCAGCACAGGAACAGGCCTTTTGGCCCTCCAAGCCTGTGATGACACATTTTGCCCATCCATACTAAAACTGTCTTCATTTACATGATCTGTATCCCTCTGTTCCCTACCTAATCATGTATTCATCCAGGTGCATCTTGCATGCTGCTATTGTGTCACCACCTCCTCTGGCAGCGTGTGCCAGGCACTCACCACCTTTTCTGTGAAAAACTTACCTCGCACACCTCTGTTGAACTCAAAACACCACCAACGCTGACGCCCCACCCCAACACCTTGAACCTGTGTCCCCTAGTAATTGAGCCCTCCACCCTGGGAAAAAGCTCTATACCATCCATTCCATTCATGATCTTATAAACTTCTTTCAGGTTGTCCCTCAATCTCCTGCATTCCAATGAAAACCAACCCAGTTTGTCCAACCTTTCTTCACAGTTGAAATCCCCTATACCTGGCAACATCCTGGTGAACCTTTTCTGTACCCTATCCAAAGCATCCACATCCTTCTGGTAGTGTGGTGACCAGAACTGCACACAATATTCCAAGTGTGGCCTAACCAAAGGTCTATAAAGTTGCAGCATAACTTGCCTATCCTTATACTCGATGGCCCTTCCAATGAAGGCAAGCATGCCATAGGCCATTTTCACTAACTTATCTACCTGTGCTGTGACCTTCAGTGATCTGTGGACCTGCACACCTAGATACCTCTGCATATCAATACTCCTAAGGGTTCCACCATTCACTGCATAATTTCCAACTGTATGTGACCTTCCAAAATGCATCACCTCACATTTGTCCGGATTAAACTCCATCTGCCATTTTTCTGCCCATGCCTCCAACTGATCTACAATTTGCTCTATCCTCTGACAATCCTCCTCACTATCTGCAACTCCACCAATCGTTGTATCATCCGCAAACTTACTAATTGGACCAGCCACATTTTCCTCCAAATCATTTATACAGGCCATGAACTGCAGAGATCCTAGCACTGATCCCTGCGGAACACCACTAGTCACAACCCACCATTCTGACAAGCATCCTTCCACCGCTACCCTCTATATCCTATGAATAAGCCAGTTCTTTATCCATCTTACCAGCTCACCCCCAACACCATGTGACATCATGTTTTGTACCAACCTGCCATGAGGGACCTTATCAAAAAGGTCAAAAATGTGTAACAATCTCTTAATATTTTGTATTCAGAAAATATCATATCTAGGCTTACTTTAGGCCCATCCTTTGATTTTGTTTTTCATGAATTCACCCTTTTGATATAAAACTAATCATTACACCATCAAAATCACAGTTTCAAAATTAAATCTACTACATGAGCAATATGTAAAAATACAACAATTTTTAGCCTTGAGTATTCTCTAAAGCTAGGAAGATAAAATATTTTATTTGTAATAATAAAAACAGGACATATGCATAATATTTCCAAACAAGGAACAGCAAGTAAGTTGAACGTTTAAAGGAAAACCCAAGTACAAAGCAATCAACAGTCTCATAGTTATTACCCTTGATGCAGTAGACACAGTCATACTTCTAGTTCTCTGAGCCTCCTCTATTTGTACATTCTGGCCAGCAGACACTGGAGTCTTAGCTTCAGCATCTCGCCGCTGCTCTGAGTCTTTACGCCTTGGTAATGTATTTACTCCTGGTTGATCATAAGGACCTGGTCTGGCCCAGTCCTAATTAAAATACAGCAAGTATTTGAAAATGTAAATAAAGATCTGCATTTTTCAAAACTTCTATGAATATCAAATCAAAAGCTCCAAAACATTGCATTCTTAAGTAACACAGACAAGCAGATGTTTCCCCACTAAAGTTATGGTACGTATAAATAGAAGTAGGATGGCTACATTCACAAGTTTAGTGAAATAGATTTGGCCTGGAAACAGATTGTCTTGATAGTCAAGGGATTGTTTCTAGGACACTGTAGGAAAAGAACTCAGGAATAAAGATAATTGAATTGAAAGATAAATGAATTTGCAAGAAAAGGAAAAGTATGAAAATCACACACCTATTCTAAATTATTCAGGGGAAAGATATACATTTATCTGTGTAGCATCTCGTAAAATCTAACAGCAAGCAACAAAAGATAATATTAAGATCAAATGGTGACAAGCTCAATCAATGAGGTAGGTTTATAAGAAGTGTCTTACAAGAGGAAGAAAAAGTGGAGAGATAGAGAAGATTGCGGACGATAGTAGCAGCTTTAATTTAAAGACATTACCATAACAGACAACTGTTGCAGCACTGTAGTACTATTTCTGTGAAGGCAGCAGGTCTGATTAGGCATGATTATAAAAGTGTGTGTGTGTTTGTGTGTGTGTGTGTGTGTGTGTGTGTGTGTGTGTGTGTGTGTGTGTGTGTGTGTGTGTGTGTGTGTGTGTGTG